CAGCGACCATAAAAGTAAAATAAACTCTGCAGGGAGTGCGAAGAACATGGAGCCAGCTCTCGCAGTAGACTTAGTTGCTCACAGCACCATTCTCAAGGAAGCCAAGATTGAAATCGGAGTTCTCGTTGGGGACGATGACAGCTCAACCATTTCTGCAGTGCGCTAAGAATCCCATCATCAAATCATCAAATTTTCTGACACTAATCACGCTTCAAAGAATGTTAAAAAAGTTTTATGGTCTATGAGTAAAAATCATCTTGAACTGAAGAAAAATGCCATCATTCACCTGCACAGATGTTTTACATACGCAGTTGCTCAGAATAAGAATGATAAAGATGCCATGAAGGAGACGATAAAGCAAATAGTAGATCATTCTTTCAACAACCATCAGCGCTGTGGAGACTGGTGCAATTTCGAGAGAGACAAAGAAAACTACAACCATTCAATGATACCTGGAGGTCTGAAGAATTTGGCTTTGTATGAAGATTTGTCCAAATTCTTCAACAAATTAGCAGAAAATGTTGATAAATTCGTCACTGCAAGCTCGAGTCAGCCTAATGAGAACTTGAATGCCATAATTGTTAGCAAAGCTCCCAAATCGCGATTCTATGGCTTGACAGCCTCGCTTCATCATCGTGTTGCCCTTGCTATTGCGAGTAAAAATCTTGGGAACCGATGCTTAATTGAAGTATTACTGGAATTAAAATTGACACCTGGTCCTAATATGAATGCATATGTTGATGAACGATAAAGACTCGCGCGAAATCGTAAACAAAAAGTAGCAACAGTTGCGTTCAAAGCTCGACGAAATCTTTCGAAAAAATATCGAACGACTTTGAGGAATAAAAAAGAAAAGGTAGAAGGTTCAACATATGAATCCGGTATGGGTTTATTGAATCAATCGGCTACTAGCAATATGATCGAGCCATTACAAGAGCACCAGGATAACAACAATGAAATTTCAATGGCTAATGGACCTCCAAAATTTATTCCTTTTGATCTCGAAACAACAGGGTTCGAAAGTATTGCTGGAATTTTGTAAATCGCTGCAGGCTGCAGCAGTTCATATTTTAATAAATATGTGACTCCCTCAACGGTGATTACTCCTAAAACCAGTGAGGTTCACAGTCTTACAAGCAATTGTGGTGAATTATTTTATTATGGCAAGAGAGTGGAAACGCAACCACTGAATTGTGTGATGCGCAAATTCCATAATTTTCTTGGCTCTTTAGGTAAGCCGTGTTTACTAGTCGCACATAATTGTAATTTTGATAAGCCTCGCCTCATTAAAGCAATGGCTGAGACAGGTATGATGCCTACCTTTCAGAAAATTGTAATTGGTTTCAGGGACACGCTTCCGATTTTTCGCAGTTTATTGAACAGGCATACCAAAACAAGTCAAGTCGATTTAGCCAAAGAATTTCTGACTGATGTGTCGACAGATGAAGCACACAACGCAATTGAGGATGTACAAATATTGGAGAAACTAGTCGAATATTTTAAAATAAGTGATACTACTTTTATTGACAAAAACCAGAGCATCCAAGTATTTTTGCTCGAAAAAGACAAAAAAAAGCGTAATGCGGTGCTGACAACAACAACATTAGGCCCACTGCACAACGTGATTTCAAAACAAATGTGTGATAAATTCATAGAGGCTTCTATTACATATGATAAGTTCATTGAGGTATTCATTGATGAAGGCGAACCAGGTGTTATTGCGCTTTTATCAGAATCAGTCAACGGCAAACCTAACGTGACCAAAGATTTGAGAACTATAAATAATATAATATATTTTATGAAAAGTATTATTAATGTGATAAATGTAGAGCATACAGAAAATATAGATATTTGATAATACCTATGGGATTTTACTTTTTTACATATTATTAAATTGAAAAAAATGAGGAAAATATTTATAAAATAATTAACTAAAAGAAGAATTTATGAAAAAAGGGAAATAAGTATTTATTAGGTATTCTAATGAATATTCGGTTCTATAGTGGTACGTATGCTCTTTTAAATTTGGCGCGGATATGCATGAGTAGTGCTCACTCCCATGTATTCCGCCCCTCCCTTCAGGCTTGAAAGTCCGGCGTTGCAGGCACTTACTCGGAATAAATTTTGACGCGATTTTCTATCTTTACGTTGAAATATTTTGCTCAGAAATCCCCAAAAGTTGATGATTTCGGTATTGATCGACGCGAAATACTTCAAAGAATCCGTCTCTATTTTTTCAAGAAAAGTTCAATGGTACGAAAAAAGCTATCGCGAGTTGATTGCGATCAGGCCTAACTCTCTCTATTTACACTGTAGTTAAGCGGTTAAAATTTCGCAACTTTACAATTTTTTCACTCCGTTCAAAAGCCCCGAATCGGCTTGAAATTTCACAGAGACATGGCTCGAATAGTCGACTATCTTCTGTATTAATTTTAATTTTTTATCATTACTCGTGATTTTCTTCTAAACAACCTTAACTTACCGCTGAGCACCAATTCCAGCAAAAGTTCGTGGTCCACTTCGGTAACCCTTCTAAATACGGTTTCGCATGACCTTATGAACCCATCTAATTCATTTGCGTTGCCTCCATCGAAGGCCTTGATGTTTTTCAACGCTAACCCTATATCTAACCGTTGTGGTCCGACGGTCGAGGGTATACTTCGCCTTTCTCTTGCGGGTTCCGGCAGCCACCTTAAGGTCGCCCTGGTCCTCAGGTCCCGTTTGGGTTCGAGCCGTTCTAGGCGTCTGGTGAGCGCGCTGATCTGGTCTTGTAGGGCGTTTATGAGTTCGTACTCGTCCGCTCCTACCTCGTTGAGGGTTTGCGCCAAATCTCTTCTCGCGATCGGAGTATGCTCTGACCGGCGTCTCTGCGACTCAAAGACCTTGTCTTGCCGTCCTTCCCCATCGAGATACGTTCCCAGGTCAGCTGGGTCGTGGTTGGACGTCCGTAAGGGTCGTCTTTCGCGACTCATCTGTGCTGCGTTAGGGGAAGAGCCTCGAGCCATAGTTACTGCATTTACGGGGTCGGAGACGGCAGTCCGCCTGCGTAGGCGCGCGATTTCCTCGTTCACCATAGAATCTGATACTCCCGTAGGAGGAGTCCCCCGCGGGTAAGCGTCCTGACGGCGACAGTGTTTGTAGTGCTCTCCTAGCTCTAAAGGTTATATCTCCGACCGCGGCTTTTAATCCGGTTAAGGCGTTAACGTTTTCCCTATCCAAAGGTGATTCCAACGAGCCTCCCCTACGTAAGGGGCGCGGATTAGTATCGCCCAGCATGTGCTGACTCGCGCGGAGTGAGTCAGGGTTTTACCGCGACTAGCTGTTTAGAGACAACTATCGATGAGAACAATTTCGACTAAACTACCTACTGGCTTTGGAATTTTTATAGGCTTTATAAATTGGTAACCCCCACTTACAGGATGATGCTCCACTCCATGGCGTTGACCCTTTGGGATGACGTTCGTAGCTGTCGTTGATTAACTCGTACTCGTCTTAATCCCGGTAGCGGCGATGTCTGGATCCCGCTGTCAGTCGTGGACGTCCTTCCAGGCGTCGTTGACCCTTGGTGTGGTCTCGTGTGTCGGCAACGTTTGCGCGACTTTTCTTTGCAATGACGCTTACCGCGTAGCGATTTGCCGTCCGTTCCCCAACGTGTTTCTCATTCAACTACCGCGTGTTGAATCCTACCAGGCTATTTGTCCCAACGAGTGTGTGTCGGGTTCAGCTCTGGGTTTCGTTTACCGTTTCCGGTTATTTCCCGTTCGAGCTGCTTGATCACTTCAGAAACTTCCGTTTCGCTAATTCACTTTGGCAGTATCCCACCGCTGCCACCAAATTTGTTGTGCCGTAACGTCTCGGTGACGAAGGAGTTCGTTCGAGAGGTTAGGGCCAAGGTATTTTTGAGATCGTTGTCGGTTAAGGAGTTGGAACTCGCGTGAATACAACAAAACTGAGAAGGTTTATTGAAACAATCAAGTGTGTTGTACACTTCGCCTTTCTCTTGCGGGTTCCGGCAGCCACCTTAAGGTCGCCCTGGTCCTCAGGTCCCGTTTGGGTTCGAGCCGTTCTAGGCGTCTGGTGAGCGCGCTGATCTGGTCTTGTAGGGCGTTTATGAGTTCGTACTCGTCCGCTCCTACCTCGTTGAGGGTTTGCGCCAAATCTCTTCTCGCGATCGGAGTATGCTCTGACCGGCGTCTCTGCGACTCAAAGACCTTGTCTTGCCGTCCTTCCCCATCGAGATACGTTCCCAGGTCAGCTGGGTCGTGGTTGGACGTCCGTAAGGGTCGTCTTTCGCGACTCATCTGTGCTGCGTTAGGGGAAGAGCCTCGAGCCATAGTTACTGCATTTACGGGGTCGGAGACGGCAGTCCGCCTGCGTAGGCGCGCGATTTCCTCGTTCACCATAGAATCTGATACTCCCGTAGGAGGAGTCCCCCGCGGGTAAGCGTCCTGACGGCGACAGTGTTTGTAGTGCTCTCCTAGCTCTAAAGGTTATATCTCCGACCGCGGCTTTTAATCCGGTTAAGGCGTTAACGTTTTCCCTATCCAAAGGTGATTCCAACGAGCCTCCCCTACGTAAGGGGCGCGGATTAGTATCGCCCAGCATGTGCTGACTCGCGCGGAGTGAGTCAGGGTTTTACCGCGACTAGCTGTTTAGAGACAACTATCGATGAGAACAATTTCGACTAAACTACCTACTGGCTTTGGAATTTTTATAGGCTTTATAAATTGGTAACCCCCACTTACAGGATGATGCTCCACTCCATGGCGTTGACCCTTTGGGATGACGTTCGTAGCTGTCGTTGATTAACTCGTACTCGTCTTAATCCCGGTAGCGGCGATGTCTGGATCCCGCTGTCAGTCGTGGACGTCCTTCCAGGCGTCGTTGACCCTTGGTGTGGTCTCGTGTGTCGGCAACGTTTGCGCGACTTTTCTTTGCAATGACGCTTACCGCGTAGCGATTTGCCGTCCGTTCCCCAACGTGTTTCTCATTCAACTACCGCGTGTTGAATCCTACCAGGCTATTTGTCCCAACGAGTGTGTGTCGGGTTCAGCTCTGGGTTTCGTTTACCGTTTCCGGTTATTTCCCGTTCGAGCTGCTTGATCACTTCAGAAACTTCCGTTTCGCTAATTCACTTTGGCAGTATCCCACCGCTGCCACCAAATTTGTTGTGCCGTAACGTCTCGGTGACGAAGGAGTTCGTTCGAGAGGTTAGGGCCAAGGTATTTTTGAGATCGTTGTCGGTTAAGGAGTTGGAACTCGCGTGAATACAACAAAACTGAGAAGGTTTATTGAAACAATCAAGTGTGTTGTACAGTATTTCGACGTACGTCGACTTGGAAAAATATAGGCACCGTTCGGTCCTCCTATTTCCTGTACCGAGTCTACTCCACGAGACCACCTTATCCGTTCGGATTTTAATTGTAGACTGTAGATTTTCGGATGTGCAGCCCGCTGCCACCAAATTTGTTGTGCCGTAACGTCTCGGTGACGAAGGAGTTCGTTCGAGAGGTTAGGGCCAAGGTATTTTTGAGATCGTTGTCGGTTAAGGAGTTGGAACTCGCGTGAATACAACAAAACTGAGAAGGTTTATTGAAACAATCAAGTGTGTTGTACAGTATTTCGACGTACGTCGACTTGGAAAAATATAGGCACCGTTCGGTCCTCCTATTTCCTGTACCGAGTCTACTCCACGAGACCACCTTATCCGTTCGGATTTTAACTGTAGACTGTCGATTTTAGGATGTGCAG